ACCAACTTATGTAATCTCAATGGTTTCATTTAGAAACATCAGCCAGAAGCAGTTTGCTTTAACCACTTCAGATTGAGTCCTCTTATTCTTTTGCACTGGTGATGAATTTGCTACTTGTGGTAACAAATGCCAGTAAAAGCATGAGCAAGTCACACACTCTTTTGATTAAGGTAGGTATTACGTCCTATAAAAATCAAAAAAACTACAAACATTCTGCTGCTGAGAGGAAAAAAAAAAACATGCATCAGAAAGCACTTATTTTCACACCAGGAATTTTCCACCCTCTGTGCTATGCAGAAAGGCATAAACATAAGCAGGTTAAGATGTCAAAAGCACCAAACAAGCCTAAAACAGCTGGTACATTCATTACCACTTTAAGTATTACTTTAAAAAAGTTGTTCCAAGATTCATACCTTAACCTTTTGATGCTTGTCTGTAAATTATTATATATTTATTCAATACATTTACATTAACTGTCAGAAGTTTTAACTTCAGTGAGCACTTTAAGACACCTTTCCATGACAAAGGAAACCATTAGAGCTTCAAGCACTATTACAGAGTCAGAACATTTTTATATGATGTATGAACATCAACTTCCAAACAGTTGGGGTAAGGACAGGTAAAAACAAACCCCTTGTTTCCTTCTTGACAGAGACTAACCTAGCACAGTCCATTCTCTACTCTTACACACCCTTTCCTACTAAGCATGAATAACCTACTCGCAAGGAAGAACAGAAAGCCAGGTACTTCTAGACACTGACAGACTTCAACCAGAATTTAGGAAGACCTCTCTCAAAAGAGTTTAATTGTTGTGAAGAAAGAAAATAATTACTTGAGGCAGGACAAGGAAGAGAGACATGCTTAATCAGTACAAGTAGAACAGACAGACTGAGTAACTGCAGAGATGGCATTCTGTGAAAAATAAAGATAATACATAAATCCTGTATTGTGTTTTATGTTGCTTATTACTCTGCATATGCATATTTTTTCTAGTTGAACTCCCCTCCTACAAAGAGTTACTTGTGTAACTTCCGTCAGTGAGAGAAATCAGAGCACAACATACAATACAAGCTTAAGATGTTCAGAATAAACTCCTTCAGTCAAGTACCAAACTGCACTAATTACACCATCAAGGCTGTAGCATTAGGGTCTTAATCCAAAACCGTGTATTAGGTTACTAAAGTATCAACAGTTAGTTGTGCAAATAAAATTAAATTAATGTCTGCACTTTCAAAGAAGGAAGGAAATGACTGATCTCAACACAAACACCACCATAAATGGTGACTGGAATGGAAAGAGAAACTGAAAATTATGTACAAAACCATTGCATATTCTTTTCTCTTGGGAAGTTAAAAAAAAAAAAAAAAGAAAATTCCCATGGAATCAGATGACAGTTAAAAAAACTGAAATAGAAAATCCAATGCTATTTTGCCATTTTAGAACTACAATTGCCAGCATTTTTCCAAGAGATCAATGATCTGGCAAAGAGAAATTTAATTGCAACAAGAGAGTATTCGTCTCTTGATAGTAAGAGTAATTTCTTAAGCAAACTACAATTTATGGTTTAATTGCTTTTAAAGTCTACCTGCAATTTCAGCTCTCTTGTCTCCTTTTGATAGGGAATGGCAAGGGTAGAGACAAAGTCACATCATGTTGCTCTAGTTTTTATCAAGGATATTGACCACAACTGAGTAACTATCATGCAATCAGAAAATTAAGAATGCTAATTCAAAAACTAAAACATGCTAAAATTATCACTATGTTGATTCTTCAGCATGTACCTCCACAAGCCTTCAACAGATGATCCATCGGACAGTGACTAACATCTCTGAACACTGACATAACAGAAAGCAATGGTAACCATGTTCTGACCAGGTGGCAAATACATGGAAAAAAGGGAGCAGTTGTCTTTAATTTAGATAGTACATGAAATACCTCAAATCACTACTACAGGACAGCTCTGAAAAACAGAACCCCAGTGTTTGAAGCCTTGGCATAACCAATTGCAAGAGCAATCCACACATAATTCAACTGAAGTCAAGAGAATAAAGCTTAATACGAGTACACTTTAGCACTATAACTCACATTAACAGCACATAAAAAACTCATTGCCACATAATTTCAAGTTTTAATGAAGATTACTATAATTCTGTAATTTATGCATTAAACTAACATGTACAAAGGCATTAAAAATAATGAAATAATAAAATCTCACAATTTAGCCAGATTACTAATCCCTGCCTTCAAGTGTACACATTAGTCCAGAAATATGGCTTTTTACCATAGATTGAAAAGATTTCTGCTCGCAGAAAGGGTAGTATTTTAAGAATTATTATCTGGAACTATTATTTAAACATGAAAGAGAAGAAAAAAATTACAAGAGGGATGGAAATTCCAATTTTGAGGCTAGAAAAGATGATGCCAATCATATGATTTAGTTTCCTAAATGCTGCAGATGAGACAATTCACAATGTAATGTCACTTCACGGTCATGCTTCTTGTATTTATGCTACAACCAATCCTTCAGATATGTATAAAATCCTTAGCTAGAAATTTTAAGTAAATAACTCCTTACATCGTAACAACTATTTACCTTCTTCAATATAAATCCATGGGCTGCTTCTAGACTGAAACCATGCAGGCAAAGAAAGGATGGAGCACAAAATACATCAGAGAAAGATGAATTCCAGGCAACAGTGTGGTGATGCTATCAAGTCAGTCCTTGCACTGGAGAAATCCAACTTTTATTAAAGAAATAAAACCTGTAGTCATACAGGTATAGAATCTAAGAGTCAAGAGAAGAATCCAACTGTTCCCTCTCACAAACAGAGAATTAAAAAACTTGCTCTGAGAGCTCTGACCCATGCATACAAAGCAGTGCATGCATTCAGATCTACAGCAACACCTAATTCCTGATACAACAGCATGTAACCACTCTTTGTGGTGATCTAGGTACTGGAAACAGAAGAAAACCCTTCTTTTTCCCCTCCTTAACTATTAGAATCCAAATAAAAGTCGGCTTCACTAGAAAGCTGTTTTCTGCATCCTTCACTAAAAGACTGTATTTTATTTAAAAGTATGCACTTTGTATTAAGTTATAATCATTAGCAATAACTCTTAAGATTTTGCATATCTATTTTTTTTTCTTACTGAGGAAAACAAGTATCTGTCAAAAAAGATAACAGTATAGAAGAAGTATTTCCTCAGAATCTCCATATATAATTTAACCATGGAGTATGTCCCTTAAGATGAAATACTCAAAGTTTATCTTGACCATCACTGCAAACATGAAAACAGTTATGTACAACCTTCAGAAACCAGAAAAACATTTACCAGAAAAAATGTTCACACTGACTGTATTTTGAGGTCTTGGTTAGTCCAAAATCCTTCTACTGATGTTATGCTACACTCTGAATTAAATTAAAATCCTAAATACTTTATTCCTTCTTACTACTGCTTAGGTACTTCAAATTCTTTCCCTGCTGTCCTTGTTATTAAGGAAATCAGAGACACTGTCCAATTGTTTTACATATCTAGCTGCCCCAAGTATACTAGAAAAAGTCTTTGAAAAGAGCCAAAGACACAAATTATAATTTCACAAACTTGAAAGGATACAAGAATATTAAATGTACATCAAAACACACATCTCTATTACAGGTAACAAATGAAGAACAGTAAACTGGTTTGGCAACCAGGTAACTAATTTTCCTTTTTTTTATTTTTTTATTAACTGTTTAATTTAACAGTTGGTCATGACAAAGATTACAAAGGCCACCTCACAACCATTTCCCAAAAGGGTAAGCTAGGGTTCTTCAGAGTGTGATACAATAGCCATGGGCATCAGGGCATCCACTCTGAGTATTATGCCTTCCTAGATCTCCAAAACACAAAATACTATATATTACTGGGCTACAAAATTCAGAATGTAGATCACAGTTCGTTTTGTTTGACAGTTTTTTGGGGTTTTTTTAATTTAAGAGAAGCTGATTCAGCAATGCTTTTATAACATAAATCATCCCTTTGTCATCTCTTTACTTTTTCAGTTTTTCTAGAACACAAACTTTCCCTCCCCAAACCACTTTTATCCTCTTTCTATATCAGACTGGAACTTCTCATTCTCCCCTTGCAGGGCTGCCCAAGTTCTACCCCTGCCTCCCATAGTTTGTATCACCTGCCTGATGACAGGGGCTGTATTTCATGACACTTTCCTTAGAGGTGACCTGGAAAGGAGAAAACCACTAGGGTTCTTTTTGATTCCTTTTGATGAAAACTTGACATGCTCACCAACAGAAGCCTGGTTGCTTCTGGATCACCATCTTCTGAGATACCAGGCTATTACAACTTCTGCAAAAATAGGCTGTGAATGTGGTTTACTGTTTGTAGGGATAGGTTGCAAGGGCCTCCTGGATCAGTCAAAATTACACTTAAGGAATCTTAAGTGCTCGGTGGAACAGGGTGAAAGTACTACATATTCAAATAAAAGCATAAAGAGAAAACAAATAAAATAAATAGATTTTACAAGTTAGTAATTATAGACGAGGAAAGATGCTTAAGTCATAATACGTCTAAGGTTGTAATTTTTAAGAACGCTCCAGAAAACAATTGTAGGCTTTCTTCAGATCATAAAACCAGTAACAAAACATACAAGGCCGGCTAAGCTTAGGTCATCTTTTGGTGCCTTACTTTACGTGTACGTCAGTGCGCTCCCTACCCAGAGGCTCTCCTAGACCCAGGGGCAGCTCCCGCAGCCGCCCAGCTGCCCCAGAGCCCGTCCGGCCCAGGCACACACACCCCTCCCGTAGCCGAGGCCTGCGGCAGCGATCCCTCCTCGCCCCTCAGCTGCCCGCGGTACCTTGCGCTGCTTTACGACAGCGCTCGCACAACCGCTGGCAGACCACTAAGGATTTTAGAAGGCAAAAAAGGAAACCGGACCCGCGACACTAGGCCCAAACCCGCCGCGGGGGGCTAACAGGCCCAGCCGGAACGTTCCCTTTCCGTACCTGTCCATGGTCTGCGGCAGCGCCAAGCCCGTCTGCTCGGCCATGGCCCCGGGCGGAGGAGCGGGCCCGGCCGAGGGCCCGGAGCCTGACAAAGGCGTCACGCGTGCGGCGGCGGAGAAAGGGAAGCGAAGGGGAAGGCGGTAAATCCGCCCTTCCGAAGGACGACCGAGGCGGCCCCTCCTTCGGCAGGCGGGACGCGGCGCACGGCCGGTGGCAGGAGCAGGACGGAGCGCCCGGGCCGCCGCGGGNAGGAAGGAGGGAGAGGCTGGGCCGTCTGCTCTGCCCCCTCCCCGCTCCCGTAGGGGCCCCCTCGGGCGGGAGCATCCCCCGTTCCCCGCCCTCTCCCCCGCCATCGCCGGACAGGTGCAGGCGGCCCCCGCCTCTGCTTGGCCGCCGGGCCCTGCGACTTGCCCTCAGGGAGGGGACCCTGCCAGGTACCAGTCCCGACCGCGCTGCCCAGAAGGGCGGAGGTTGGAACGGTAGAAGGGAAATTAATCCGTTTCAGTGGTGGTGTTGTCGATGACAAGGACAAGAGTCCTTGTAAGTGGCACTTGGTGCTCGATGGAGGCCCGGTGACTCCTGGCTTCTGTGTGCAAGTGGGGTGAGGGATGGCCCGGCCGGTGGTAATGGCAGCGCTCTCTTTTGAGTTTGTTGGTGTGCTTCCAAGGGGGAAAAGTCCTTCTAAGGTGCTTTTAAAATTTGTTGTATATTCATAAATCAACCTAGAGTGTCACAATCTGAAAAACTGGAATATTAGAAGCTGAAAGGCCTTTATAGAGCGAAGAGGTGGATAGTAACTGGAAAGAAGTTGCCTTTCCAATTATCTCCACCATGGGTGTTTGTTTCCTGCCTCCACGTCATGCTCCCGAAGCAAAGGCAATAGCCTGTTTGGATTCAGATGGTGTTGTGACATGACAGATTCTTGGAAAGATTAATTAGTAAAAATCAACTTTTAAATTTCCTTTTCAGGTTTTATTTTTAAAGAATAGCTCTTATATTAAGTTTTACTGTATGAAACTAATCTCTATACCTTGTGTAAATTACGCTGCAGTTGCTGTTCAAGGTTGTAATTTTCAGGGCCAAGCCCGGGGTGCAACTTTGCAGCTGCATCAACCTACAGCTGTTCTTGGCTGAGATCAAGCTTTTGCATGTTCGTGACAGCAGACATCAGGTGGAATAGGAGGGCAAGTTTAGGGAATATACTGGATTCTTTGATTGTGCTGCCTTAGCTAGGGACAAATCAGTCTGGTTTTGAGAGTCTCTGGAGAGAGGAAAGTGTTGTCAAACTCTGTGTAAAACACCTGGACTTGGACTTGTAAGTAGTGTTATGTGCATAATAGTAAGGGTGTTGTTTATTTTCTAATTGCTACAAATATCATAAAGAGGAACACTGAAGTATTTACAGAGATGTAAATGTTCCTCACAGCAGGTATAGAAACAGGTAGGAGGAAGGCATTGGCATCCTGTTCCAGAAAATTTATTTTGTACTTATTCTTGGGACCATAAAATTCAGTGTTGCTAACACTGTGGAGGAGTGTTGACTTTACAGTGGCCTGAGTAAACCACATGGCCATGACCTCCTCCTGGAAGAGATCCTAATACACACTGTCCCAATTACAGCTGTCCGCGGCGTGTAAGAGCAATATTGGATATCAAGAGTTTCTGGTTCCTATTCTTGGTCTGGAATAAGCTCATTGTCTATTGGCCAAAACATTGAGTAGCTAGGCTAGCCTAGCTTAGTTTTTTTTTTATATTTATTGTCAAGTGTTACAAATGGAAATAGGGAAGCTGGTTTTATCTCTAGGAGTGTGTGGTTTGTGCAGTTTCTGTATGTTTGCTTTGAAGTTGAAAGGATATGCTGGTTGCCTGCCATTTATGATAAAGGTCATAGTGGCTAATAATAGCTGTGAAGAATATTTACCTGAAGAAATGGAACCAGAACCCAGGATCACTTGGCTACCATTTGAGGCTAAGGAATTGTCTGTGACAAGTGTGGCTGCTTTGCTTTACCACTGGCACGGGAACATATTACAAGACTGGGCTGGACAAAACTTGAATATCAGGTCAAATAATGAGCACTCAGTAGGCTTGGACATATTTTCTTTTTCCTTATAAATTCTATTGTTTTTTCCAAATGTGAAAAATAAAATCTTAATAGGATAAAAGTGAAAGTAAAATTGGACAAGCTTTAGTGGTTTTAAACTAAAATACGGTAGATTTACATTGAACATAAGGAAGAAATCTTTTACGATGAGGGTGGTAAAGCACTGGCACAGGTTGCCCAGAGAGAGGCCGGATTCCTCATCCCTGGAAACATTTAAGGTCAGGTTAAGCAACCTGATCTGGTTGAAGACATCCCTACTCATTGCAGGGAGGTTGGACTAGAGGAGCTTTAAAGGACCCTTACAGCCCAACACATTCTATTATGGCAGACCCCTTAACATCCCATAAATAGCTTGAAGATTCTGAAATCCCAAAACCAATTTGTGGAAACTGTTGGCCAGCTTGGGCTATATGTTCTTTGTCTACTCTTTCCAGAATCAAAGTGTGATCCTAAAATACTTATATAACCAACTGGTTTTAAAATAGTAAAAAAGCACTTCCTTACTCCCAGACAGAGCAAGAGTTGTCATTTTACCCTTCTCTGTTCTCCTTAGCAAGACTGGATATGCAGCTGCTCTATTCAAATGCTTGCTTTATTCTCCCCCACAATCTCCTCCTTCACTCTCCCTCATCCCCATTTTCTCTTAATTTTCTTTCCACATTTTGTTCTTTATGCTTCCTTCTTTGCATTGGTAATTTCCACTGTAAATTTCAGATTGCCTCTTGCATTTTTTATTTTTAATTTTTTTTCATTTTTAAACTATTGCTTCCTATATCATGCCTTAATAGATCCTTCTTTGTTTCTTCCTTCCGTTTCTCTGCTTTTCACTCTGCCTCACTCTGTCAGCTCTTACCTGCACCTGGCTGTGTATGGCTACATTTGAGCCGAGAGGACTCTCCTGGGAACAGGCTCTGTTTGACCAGAGCAGAGTGAGGGAGAGTGGCTGCTCTTCCTGGAGCTTTGCCAGAGCTCAGCTCCCAGACACTGACTGGAGGTAGCAGCCATTTTAAGCAAATTCAGTAAAACTGCACATTTTAAGGCAAGTATAGAACTTTGTGAAAATCACCAAAATATAAGTTCTTTAGGGCTTAAAACTGAGCCCTCAAATTGGCTATTGGATTTACTGCAAAATATCAACTTTTAAAAATACTAAATGGTTTGATGACAAATTTATACAGATTTAAGCTTAATAAATAAGTTGACAAGCAATTACTGAAAGAATGACATGGAGGTAGATTAAATGTATATGTATGTGTAACTATTTCAGTGAGGCCTGAAAAAGAAGAAAAAAGGACAAGTATTCTTGTATTTGTCCTGTAGGTATAAAGACCTGTACCTTAACATGGTTCTTCTGACCTGGCAGTATTAAAAGTATGGAAATTATTCACTGTTTACAAAAAAGCTAAGTAACCTGGCAATATAGGAGTATTCTATTTTGGCAAAATGTTAACTGCTATGATAGCAATATGTAAAATTAAATTACAAGATCAGTTAGGCATGTTTCATCTACTTGGTTCAATTTTTTTAAATATTAGTAGCCCTCAATTAATCTAAAGTGAAACTAACCTAAGTTGAAAAATGTGTTTCTACAATAAAACTTGGCTTTTTTTCAGTACCATAACACTTCATTTTAACCTTCAAGCCAGTTGGAATAGTCACTTTCTGTCAAAAAGACTAGCATGGTTTGTTAGTCACAGGAGGCTTAAAGAGGCTTAAATTGCATCATAATGAATTGCTTAAAATAAAAATACACTTTATACAATGCTAATTGAATTCACTTGGCTTATTTGGGCCTTTCTTACATTTGTTTCTTTGGAACTGGCCCAGGTCAAGTAATTCATATACCAGATTGAATTCAGCTCTTGTGGTCTGATTCAGCAGTCATTACTATCTTTTAACTTCCAGTTATGAGGGAGTTGGTTGCTAGAAACAAACAAACAAAAAAATTGTTTTCTTCTAGTGGCTAGTTGATCAAAAACTGTCTTTACATCTTGATTTTCTTTGGTTCTGGAGTACTTTTCCTTATCCTAATGATTGATCTATCAAGTGAAACTGTCTCGTGGGAAGAACTGACAGAAGCAGTGTGGTCCCTTGCATGTGAATCCTCAAATCATCTGAAAAGCAATAACCCACAAGTAAATGAGGACATAAAGGAGGGGCATAGAATGCCAAGAGCCAGCCCTATGAGAGGTGGGATATTATACTTAGCATAAAGCTAAGTATTTTCACTTGCAGTAAGAAAGCAGTTTTGCTGCCTTTAATGATTCAGAGTAGCACAAACAGGTTAGAGCAAGTGTTGAGAAACTTTTAATTACAGTGTTGATGTAGGGCAGGCAGACCATGCAGTCCAACATAAACAGGGTGCAGAAAGCAGAGACATAAGTGTTAGAACAACTCGCTTTCAACTGCCCTAATTTATCTTTCTCAGCTTTAGTCATTTCTCTTTCATGCACAAAGCTGTGCATATTTCATCCTTGGAAAATCAGCCTGCACTTTTAGGTATTTTCTCACTTCTGATTTCAACTCTGTATTTCCTTATGAGCATTACTATTTGGTCTGAATAAGTAGTATTATGAATTACCCAGTATAAATATGCAGAATAATTCATAGACTAGTGAAAAACAGAACACCAAGTGCCAATGAATGAAGTTCTGAAAATTTTTCCTGACCTACATTAATGATCACAATATTAATATCTTATGAGAAGAACTCCTGTCAAGCTGTGTATTGATGTAGAGGCTGGGATATGTAGATGGTGGGTAGTGAAAGGCAGGAAGGTGAAGTGTGGCACCACCATGTACAGAATAGATGGAATGTTAAATAGTAACATTCACACCTTGATTTTCTTCTGAGCAGATTATTTTTTTGGTAGACTTTTCAGTGTAGTAACAACTCAGTAATGAAAAAGCTGTAACTTGAAAATTGGAAATTGTTCAAATAGTACAGCTTTTCACCTGTGTACTGATTTTGATTTGTTTTTAAATTTTTATACTTGACCTATTTATGTTTCAGAATATATTTAGAAATTATATTATGACACATTATTATTTAATATATTCTTCAGCTAAGCAACATGACACGATTTCCTTTGTAATAGCTGTAAATTTTATAGCTGGTATGAGCTTATAATTTATTTTT